CCCCCCCCCCCCAGCTGAAAATTGCTATATTTCAGCAAATGCAGTTAGCTGAAAAATGCTTTCTATGCTGGATAAGCAAGATCCTTTCTGTACTGGTAAAGTTACTAGTGAAGATGAAAAAAATGTGCAAGTGTATTTTCATACTTTAAAAATGAAGTAATGGATTTTGAGAGGTTCTTTTATGGAGTAAGGCTAGGATCCTGGAAAAGGCAAGTCTCTACAGGTATCTATCTCTTTAATGTCCTTCTTTTACTTTAAAAATACACAGGAGACACACACCTTGCAGGTAAGGTGAAATTGGTCCTTACCTACTAATATTTCAGTAGTATTACTTCCTGTAGCATGTCTATCTTGTAAGCTGTGGGGCTGTTCATTGTCTCAAATTGAGGTACAACCTATTTCATGTTACCCACTATGGACATCAATCTCAATTGCAGCTCATGCAAGCATACTGCTGTACAACAGCTTTAAATCAAGAAGTAGGAAACTCTTTCCAGTTTAGATGGAGAGTGGAAATTAAATAAAAAGAATATATTGGCTTTGGCCAGGACAGCAAGAAAACAACTGAAGTCTAAAAAAATTGCTTCTGCACCCAGAAGAACCTGAATGGCAGAACCTAATTCTGAAATTTCACCTTTCCCTTTTATCCTCCTATGTAATGCTGCACTTGGAACCAACACAGCTCTCCATCTCTGGAAAGAGCCCAGCAAGTGAAAAGACTCAGCACCATCCCTGGCAGGACTTTGTCCTTTCCCGGCCCCCTATCAAAGCCCCGACCGCAGCACGCGTGAGCTAATTCAGTAACACTGAAAGGACATCCTGTCAGAGTAAATGCTGTTTTATTCTGAGATTGGGTGCAGTGAGCAGTACAGAGCTCCTCCACATATTATTCTGCTCTATGATGGCTTGGAATGGAAAGTTTCTTTAGGGAGAAATAATCAGGTATTACTTCAGCCTTTAATTCTCACTCCACAGTAGGCCTCCTTTGAGTAAAGACTGCCGACTGTGACAAATTGTGCTGCATCAGTGCTATAATATGAAGTGGAGTCCATTAAGAACTGAGCTGAGATCACCAAACTCATTTTGATTAACCTCCAGGTCACTAAACACTTATAAATATGTTACACAGCAGCTGCTAAACATATTTATATATGCTTAAGGTCACAGCATCATCTGTTGGTTGTTGGAGTTAAGTCAAAAATCTTATGTTTCCTTCTGTGCTGCTTTTAGTTAAGGCATATCCAACATACTACAGCACTGGACTCTCTCCTACATCTCCCAATTCCCTCCTCCATTTTTCTGGGGTGCTAAATAAAAATCAAGCCTTTAAAAACAGTCTGCTGTACATGTAGTGACATCTAATGGCAAAAATTCAACTGGCCGGCTATGAATTTTATAGCAATACAAACCCAGTGAAGTATACAATTTTGCAGTATTTGCCACATAAACACCAAGAGCTGGGATGCTCAGGGATGGTGCCATTAGGAATAATAGGAGGAAATTAAGGAAAGATACATTTAAGTTTAGTATAATGAAAAGATGTCTTCATGGTGAGATACAGTTACCCTCCAAGGGAGTGAAGGAAATCTCAGCATCTGACATTTCTGCATGCAGGCAACATGTTAGAAAATGTATTGGTCAGAGAAACCCTGCATTGTGTATGAACTATAGTATCTGCTCTTGCAATACCTTGATCCCAGATAATGTATTTTTCTCCCATTTAGAAGAAAAAGCAGCCAGGCCAACACAAATTTGGGGTAATGCAATTTAAACGCAATGCTTAAGCCTACAAATTTTTTTTCTGCTCTACTGCTACAAGTAGATCTTCAAGAGTTCAGCAATTGTAAGAGATTTAAAGTAGAAGGGAGGAATCTGCTTTCTTTCTATGGTTTATTTACTCAGTTGACAATTTAGCAATACATAATGCCCAGAGACAGTTGTTATGCTTGAGGAAAGGGCTGCCACCTCAGGGGATCTGGTCAAGTTGGAGGAATGTGCTGACAGGAACCTTGTAAAAGTCAACAGGGACAAGTGCAACAGAGACAAGTCCTGCACCTGGGAAGGATGAGCTCCCTGCAGTGGTGCCAGCTGGGACTTGACTAGAGGGAGCAGCTTTGCTGGAAAGTCCCTGAGCATCTTGGCAGACGGAGCTGGGCATAAGCCAGCAGGCTGCCCTGGGAGCAAAGAGAGCCAACAACATCCTGGGCTGAGTGACAAGGTGCAGAGACGGGAGATGGAAGAAACTGATCATCCCCTCCTTCCTCAGCACCCACTAGACTCCATCTAGAGTATCATGTTCAGTTTTGGATCCCCAGAAAAGAAAAGATGATGATAAACTAGAGTGAGCAGAGAACCCCTTACATGGCATGGGCTTGAGCACTCACCCTGGAAGGGCTTAAGGATGAGGCCTCATTCAGCCTGGGGCAGAGACAGCTCTTGAGAGGAACTTACAGCAGCCCCATAGCACCTAAAAGGGGGTCAGCAAGAAGATAAAAGTGGCCTATTCACAGTGGGCATAGTCGGGGGACAAGACACACTGGGCAAGAGTGGAAACACATTAAGTTCAGACTGGGTGCAAGGAAACCATTTTCCCAGTTAAAATAGTGAGAGACTAGATTTGGTGGCCCAAAGTGGGCAATCTCTGCATTTGGAGATTTTGAAGACACAACATGGTAACACTCTAAGCTCTAAGATGAGCCTGATGAGAAGGTTGGACTTCCTGAGATTCCTTTCCAGCTTGAACGATCCTATGATCTTAGCTTGTTAGCTTCACTGTGCTGTTGACAGTCTGGTGTACTACTGGGTCCGAAATACAACTGCTCAAATTCAAACCATTCCCTTTTAAGAAGTTCTTCTGATCTTTTGTTTTCCTTCATTTCCAATCTACCCAAAGCTTAATCTGCACTTAATCTCTTTTCCCTGCAAAACAAGTAGCAACAGATCTAATTGTGTCTTCTGAGCTAATGCAGAAGTCTGTGTATTTAAAAAGAGGAGTTGACATGCAAGATCTGGTCATTGTTAAAAAGCACAACAAAGAAATTGTTAGAAAGAACAGCACTGACAATACATAGGAGCACATGAGTGATCACAGCTGCTGAGCAGTCTCTTGTACTAAAATACCTTCCTTTAATTGGACCTGAAATCCTCAATTAGTTTATGTGTTGTCTCCAACTG